AAGTGGAGGAAAAGCGGGGGAGGAATTTGCATTAATAACCCACAATTCTTGTGTATTTGCAAATATAACCCCTAAAATTTCATATCAATGTACATAACAATATAAAACATAACATAAAAATAACATCATTATTAACTTCTCACATAGCTTTATGACACAAAATTATTCTAATATAATATAAATATCAAATTTTAGGTGGGTATGTGTGCAAATTTCCCCTTTTTTTTCCTAATTTAATTAATCAAATTCTAGCATAAAGTATGGTCTGTAATTAGGGCTGTACTCATTGTTCGCGAACAGTTTGTGTTTGGCTCGTCAATGAGTTTGTGTTAGATTCTTTTGATAACTAAACAAGACGAATCGGTTAGTTAAACGAACCAAACACAAACAGTGATGCGTTCGTTCGTGTTCGAATCGTCATTGTTTGAAATAAAAAATAATTTAAAATAATTATATATATAATTTATGATATTTTAAAAAATTAAATTATATAAATTATAAAATATAATAAAATAATAATAATAATATATTAATATGCTATATTTTTAATATACTAATATAGATATTATATATTTATATAATATAAGTTATATAATTAATAAAATATATTATTTATATATATTAATATTAGGGATGTCAAACTTGTTTGTCGTTCGCGAACAGCTCGTTTTCAGCTCGTGTTTGACTCGTTCGTTAAGAAAAGAGCACGAACAGTGACTTCACGAACAATTTCAAACACGAGCTTATTTCAAACAAACTAAATTTCAAACGAACCGAACATGAACACAAAATCTATTCGTTCGTGTTCGATTTGTTTACACCCCTACCTGTAATGCATGGAAAATACGAGAAATTAAAATGTTTGCGAAATCATAATTTCTTATTCATTGAAAAAACCTTTTCTTAAAAAAAAAAAATCCAAAATTCTCACCTCCTTATCCCAATCACATTTGATGGTCATGATGGCCAATATCAGTGTCTGAATAGCCGTTCCTCCAATCATGCCAGCCCATATTCCCTACAATTATATATCAACAATATTCAAAATTTCATAAACACCCACATTTATAAAATCCTATATTATTTACATAATTTCTTATGCATTTACATATCTCACACCTAAACTTCAAATATTTACATCCATACCACATTGATGCTTTAAACATATGTTGTGCATTTCATTTTTAAAAGTGATAATGATGCTATTTTTTACGTGATATTATAGATTTCAATGCTAAGTGCGTAATATGAAATTTTGTGTGTCGACATATACAAATATATAAGAATCATGTGCTAAGTATGTAAATGTGTCTAAGGATCCGTTTAGGGCAGCTTGTGTGTTTCAAGATAAGCTGCTTAAGCCGATCCGCAACCTGCGTTTAGTGTAAAAACCCAAATGCAGTTTCGGATAAACTGGCGAAACGCGCGAATCAAACGGTATGGCGGCGTTTTCAAAACGTCGCCCGCACTTATAAGCTGTCCCAAACGGACCCTAAATAAATAAGAAAAATTCATATCACAACCCTAAGCTTTAATATTTATATCCATTGTTTTTTACTGCTTTAAACTTATGCATGAAAATATGAATGTGGTAAAGAAGAAATTTTTGTGGGTGAGATAAGTAAATACATAAGAATCGTGTGATGAATATGCAAATGCATCAAATCAAATAAATAAATTCAATTAATTACCAAAACACCAAGATGGAGAAGCCATCCCATGAGTATCCCAAGAGGAATCCCAATCAAATAATATGATCCAATGTTAACATATGCCACAATTGATTGCCACCCTGACCCAACTGCAACACCTATTTTGCACCATGATCATAATTTGAATTAGTTTTATTTCATGTTTTAAGAAAAACTAAAAATAATATAAAAAAAGAACCTGAAAGAATGGGTTGAACGCTGTTAAGAAGAATGGTGAGAGCCAGCAGGAGAGAAAGATTGTCGACGGCGCGGATGACGACGTCGCTGATGGTGAAGATGTAAGCGACTTTGTTATGGAGTGCAACGACCAATACAGAGAAGAAAACTCCGATGATGCTTGAGGTGATCACGGCGTTGATGGTTGCGAACCTGGCTCCTCTACTGTTGTTTGCTCCGAGCTCGTTCGCTACCCTCACCCTATTACAAATCATCAAAGAGAGAAACAAACATGTTAAATGATGATTTACATAGATATCAATCAATTCCTACTCATTTACATATCTAAAACCGAAACATCAATCAATTTTTGCTTATGTCAACTTAACTATAGACAGAAAGGTAGATCTAACTATTTCAATGTTACAATGGTAATTCTCTTTTTTTTTTTTTCGTAAAAAGAAAGATTTGAGCGACATAAATGTAAAGAGTAAAGTTCAAGTATTAGATATGTAAACATGTGGATGTTGTATGGTATGTATGTCATTGCCTCAATGTTAAAACTGTCTCAATGTTGTATATGTTAAGTCAAATAATTCAAGTCCATATATAGATAAAACTGCAAATGTCATTGCGGCTGAAAACCTTCCCCCATAATTTGAAAATTGGCACTAAAAGCCTTTGCAGCGCTAACAATTGCAGTCGTTTAAAACTCGTTGTAAGGCTTACCCGGTTGCAGCGAAGAATGCAAGAGGAATCATCAACTCCCACCCATTAATACTGATGCTGCACATCAGAAATGAATTTTATGAACAAAACATTCTGTTAATATGTTATACATTGTAAAAATAAGATAGATATAGAGAAATGGGTCACCATATGGAGAGGGCATCCACTGCAATTGCAGCATTCTTTATGTTTCCAGCAAGCACTATCAGTATTCTATAGTACCAGTTCTCCAAGCTGCATCAACAATTAAACAAATTGCATAAAATGATCTATGTAACATATGATTAGCTCAATTTTATAATAAAAGATTTGCATACATACCACTAAACTCCAATTTTTACAAATATATCATTTCACCAATACAAGGAAAAGTGTATTTCAGTTTTAAGAAGTTAAAAGGATGATACTATTGATAAGATATGAAATAGGGCTGTGAATTTGGCTCGAAGATCTTTTAATCGTTTGAAAATTGATTCAAATTTTTGCTCGGATCGAAATAAAGGAGCCGAGCTATGAGCTTTAATTTTGAATCGATTTTTTTCGAGCCATACACGGATCAACTCAAACTAGCTCGAGATTGGCCCGAATTTACAAAAATTATATATAATATTACAAAAATCAAATATGGCAGCTTACGAGTCGATTTTCAGCTGAAACGGATCCAAATAACTCAATTTGAACCATCTTACTTTGATTTCGAGCCAGATCGAGCCGATTTCGAGCTGAAATGGATCCAAATAACTCAACTTTGAGCCAACTAGTTTCAATTTCAAGCAGGATCAAGCTATATTCAAATTTTCAGCCAATCAAACTGGCCCAAAATCAAACCCATGAGCTGATTTCGATCCAAACTAAATCCATTATATCCATTAACAAATCTAATATGATATATATATATATATATGTATGTATGTAAAGGACACTAAATAAATATATATTACCAATATACCATACCATAGCATAACTCCTGAAGCCGCGGAAAGCTTCAAGAACTCCCACAGGCCATCAAAAGCCCGCATAGAAAACCCCATCCAAGTCTCCCCGCACCCACCGCAAATCACGAATCCCATGAGCAGCACCACCCCCAACCACCACGAGAAATTCAAAATCATCGCCGCACCAAACAGCCCATATCCGCAACGGTACACAAAAAGCCACGTGGCAATCAGATGAACGACCACCACCACAGCCGAAACGACGGCGTGGACCGCGTTCCTCAGCTGGCACTGTAAGAACCTCTGCAGCGGGAGGATGAAGACGAAGGAATAGTGAACGGGAATGAACCAGACGGAGAGTTTTCCGGCTGCCGCCGCGAGCCCCGGCGGCGGGAGGAGGAGGGTGGCGCATGCGAATAATACGATCCACGAACGTTGCATGTAGGTCCCGAGCATGTGGTATTTCTTGGCTCCGAAGGCCTGCCCGCATAGAGTTTCCAGTGCGCTCGCCATGCCCAGCTGTTGGAGGTTGAGGAGAATCATGAGCTTGGAAAGTTGAAATTAATATATTATATTTGAATAGAATTAAATTAAGTGATTTTAATGAATCATAATTAATGGTTTAAGGTTCCATAATTAATGGTTTATGGTTGAATATGCAAGTATTGAGTTTAGATATATAAATACATAGGAATTGTGTGGTATTTATGTATGCCATATAGTTATTAGGTTTACATATAAATATGCAAGTAATGAGAATTTGGTGGTATGCACACAAATGCTCCTATGTGGCTATGTACATATGTACACACAAGTTTATGTGGTCAATATATATAAAATGATTACAAATCTATAGGGTTTAGGGCTTTACATTCAAATTAGATACCACTCAATTTAGTAGGAATAGTGAAGTAATTTAGTAAGTTACTTTAAGTCAACTTAATTATTTTTGTTGTCAAATATATATGTTATCTAATGATATTCATATTACAAGGTCCTAGAAGTACAATAGATTGCATCTGAATAAAAAATGACTAAATGATGAGTTCTTAAATGGTGTTGAGTTTTTCATATAAGCTACATCTCAACTTCCGACTTAACATTCAGAGGGTAAGTTTTGATGGTTATATGAGCATCGAAGCATAAGAATCGTACATGCTTATCGATAGACAAAGCCACGTATGATTTATACTATAGAGAATTTTAATGAAATTATTTATTTTGGACATACACATGGTGAATGTAAACTAGAAAATTTACTTTGAAGTTGGTCATTCAATAAACTGTGATCCTCCAACCGAGTATGATTATGATATATTTGAAGAAATGATGTTCGATGTAATAAAAGCTTATTATGTTGAATAAGTGGAGGAAAAGCAACAAAGCAGAGAAGCTCAAATGTTCTACGAACTACTAAATGCAATATGCAAAAACCATCACGGGAAAGTTGCACAACTCTTTTTAAGTTATTTGTAGCTCTTATAATGTTGAATATCAAAATAAAATACAATATGTCCCAATAATACTTTAAATAGATTGCATAATTACTAAAATAAATAAATCCATAGGAAATTTTAGTGGCATAGGATCTATATGGAACCAAGAAAATGACCTGTAAGTCAGTCTTTCTCCCTCCACACACACTCAAATGCACACACACCATATATGTAAGGCCTTGAACTCAAGTCCTTTTGGTTAAAGAACAAAACTCTCAATCACTAGACTGAGGTGGCTTACTTGTGTCTAATTTTGAATTAACATCAGAGAAAATATATTATTGTGTCAACGACTATTAGTTATTCTATAAGACTGATGCAATCGAGACCCATTGGAGATTTTGTGAGGCTCAAAGATTAAAATCTCAAAATAAAAAAGTAATAGAATGAAATTTTATACAAGAACTTCTTCTACTTATCAATCATTCCACGTTTTCATAAATTATTTATCTTTACGCGTACTACTACGCATATGAGATGACATCAAAAGTGGATCATACAAAACCAATTCATTAATTCATCCGACAGGTGGGGAAGCTTGAAAATATTTCGATCAACTTTTCCTAATTTTTTATTTGAGTCACACAATATTAAACATGACTTAGGTGCTGATAATTTCACACCATACAATTAGATTATCTCGCCTTACTCATATTGACCAATGATAGTTATCCCGTGCAATCTTTAATTTTAGATGTGTATGATTAAATAGACCTTTCATGTTTCTCATATGCATGATTTTACCAAAGACAAGTACTGTTCAACATGACAAAAAATGCTTAATTTGACTGCCATCAAATATTGGCACAAGTTGATCACTCTTCCAAGCAAAATAAAAAAAATAACTTCATAAGAAAGAGAGTTGAAAAATTAAGGCATTCACCAGTATTAAGTGGGAATGAAATGTGATAAATTATTAGTGCCTTTAAGATTACTAAATTTCTTGATTTATCTTCATAATGTTTTCTTAATTTTGGTGTTAATCATAATTGGATAAAGTGGGGCATTTTTTGGGATCTAGCTTACTAAAAAACTATTTTGATTAGACATAATATAAATGTCATATATATAGAGAAATTTTTTTTAACGATATTTTTTAAACTGCGATGGATACTAAGTACAAAATTAAGAATAATGTAAATGACATACTAACTTGAAGAACAAATTGTGAAAGAGGTGGATCAGAGATTCACAAGACAGTTAATGAAAAAGCATAAGTAGATTGGTCAGTTGTCATCAAGACTAATCCCAAAGCAACTATTAGATTCAAAATGATATGACAAACACTCATCAGGATAGAGATATGTCAGTTTTTTGCATTATAGTTGAATCTATTGAGCAAGAGATAACTTTAGAGGATGCTAATGACAAACATGAAAAAAATTAGTCATATTGGGTATGACTTTGGAGATGGTTTAGATGAAAATATTTTAAGCTTACATTTGGTCACTCATCTAATGGCTCAGAATGAGATGCAGACACAATGTTACTTTATTTCTTCTATAAATTTTTTGTCTATGGTTTAGGATTTTCTTATTTTATTTCTTTTACATACTATTTTGACTTCATGTACATTACATTTTATATTTTTACTATTTTTTTACTATTATTATTTCTTTTATTCCCTTATTTATGTGTACTAATCAATTTATAAACTCTCGATGCAAATGCATTTTGGTGGCAGTGATGATCTCCTTGATCGCAGGGGTATCATCAATATGTTCAAGAGATAGAAAAGAGTTCTATAATGCCCCATCTTACAGAGTAGATTACTGCTAGGTGACTGCCACGACCACCAATATCTGACGCATGCACCTTGAGCCTGATTGAGTCACTAGTGTACCACGCTCAATCGCCTACGTCCATGCTACTACCACTGCCCATATCCCATGTAAACCCTTCTATTTTTATAGATTCAATTGTGTCAAACAACACACGATGCATGCACATAAAGCTTGATGGAGAAACATAAATAATTTAGATTTCAATAAGATGCACTTTATTTCCATTGTTATTATTATAATACAACTATTAATAAATCTCATTTTTCATATTTATCCATCCAGATAAGTCGTTCACTCTATTAGCAACATCATCACGACCAAATATGATATTTCTCCTTGTAGGAGATCCTAATTGAAGTTTGAGATATGTAGTTTAGAGAGCTTGAGATAAACCCTAAACCGCAATCTCAAGTTGCATAACATTATCCATCTAACTTATTCATATTTGTGATGTAGAAGGATTTCTCTAGCTACATGAGAATTATGCGAGCCTGCTCATTTGCGTGATATGTTCACTGACATAATATACAAGATGAGCCAACAACCTCCATGAATTTGGGAGGATGCTGGACCCATTTGTGTAGAGCTCGGGCCTCTTATAACCATGCCAGGAAGAGGGGGCAGAAGAAGCAGAACCAGGCTTCAAAATGTGGGGACATGGACATCTCCCTACAAACTAGAGGCGTACTTCCATACACCAAGTACAAGCGGTGATAAGAATGAAACACACATTTTGATGCATAGATTCATGACACCAATGTGTTATAAATGTAAATATCAAATTCTTTATATGAGATGTGTAAATACATAAAAATTGTGGTATGTGTGTGTAAATATCCATAAAATGAATTAAAATATTAAAATTTCAATTTTTGATGGATGGGAGATTTGTAATTATGATTTTAACATTTTTACCAATTAATTAAGTTATTTTATATCCCCTAAAATAGATAATATTTAAGGAATATGTATTATTAAGTTAACTTATTAATAAAAAATATTGACGAATTATTAGAGTTTCGACGATGCGAATCTCCCTTCTTCTGCATTTGAATAATTATGGCACCTATAATTATTATTATTATTAAAAAAAATTATGAAATTATTGATTATTAAAATTTAATTATTAAAATTTGGCTGTAATAGTGGAATAATTGCTAGGAAAACATCAGTTTATTATTGAGTGACATGATTCATAAATAATAATAATAATAATAATAATAATAATAATAATAATAATAATAATAATAATAATAGGTGTAATTTCGTATAGACCACCCGAAAACTTGTAATTTACAAATCAACCATCTTCTTTCATCGATTTTGCTAATTCTTACTAAAATAGCAAAATTCATGGTAAAATCTCAACTTGTATATTTCACTTTTATTATATTTCTCGAAAGTTTGGTCATAACACGTGTAAATATTCAGCAGTTCAAATAAAATCATCTGGGTGGGTAATTTGTAAGCATTAATGTCTCGGGTTGTGATCGGACACAGCATGCATCTCTGCATGTGGTGTCCGTATGGAATAATTTTTTTCAAAAAAAGACAATAATTAAATATTTTTATATTTTATCAACAGCTTTGAGGTCCATTTGGTAATATTTGTTTGCTTTTGTCTGTAATTAAAATGTTTAATTATATACATTTTAATGTAAATTCAATAAATTTGTGCTATCTTGACTTATATCATATATAATTATATCATATGTAATTACATAAATCTTTAAAAAAAATTTCTCAATTCTAAAGCATTTTTGAATTTTAAAAAAATCAATTTTAAATATATATAAAAAAATGCAAAGATATAGATACCAGATATGTATTCCTGTAAATCTAAAAAATATAAATTGTATTTGGCACATTCAAAATGCAAATTCAGCATAGTGAATGCAAACCCCCTTAATTTATTAGAAATAAGTAGGAAGAAAATTGTTTGAAAAGAGAAATCTTCGATGAATCTATGTAGCCACATAGGCCATAGTGACGAGTTGAGATTAGGTATTGGGAGTTGTGTGAGTTGCGGGTCACGTAGGTTGTAGTTCGTGATATAATTCATAGCGGGGAGCTGCGATAACATCCGTAGGTTGTAGAGGTAGGAGTCGAGAACTACACAAGCAATAAGACACGTAGAACATAGTTTGTCACATAGATCATAGTGGTTAGTTGTGATAACGACCAGATGAGGCTAGAATCAGTAGCTACACGAGATGTGGGCTACATAAGTTATAGTTGGTCACTAGATTATAATGGTGAGATG